TCCGAACAGCAATGTTACAAGATTACAGATTCAGCAACAGACATCCCTTGCAGACACTGACAATATCAGAGAGATAAGACCGCTAGTACTTGAGCAGCAGCGCAGTGCAGCATCGGAGTGTCTCAGCGAGCGCGACAAGCTCATATGATGTTGCCGGTATTGAACACCATGATCCGCAGCGTATAATGCTCATCAAAGTGTACTTTCACTGACCTTTTGATCGCGTTCCTGCATCACTGTTGCATCCCACAGCTTATCTCATCTGATATCGTAAGTCAATGTTGGTGCGACTCAAGTAGCAGACCTCAAGACTGGACAAATGTGGGCTGATCTTGCTGTCACGAAAAGCCAGGAACAAATGTATCTCACTTACCATGCCGATAATTTTGGCGCCAATGGCCCCGTGAAGTACTTGTGTCGTGTCAAAAGCAATTTTATCTTCTCTCCGAGAGTTATTTCCTGGGCTAGCGACTTTTTACGGACGACATATTACAATGTTTGATTATATTTTTCATACAAGAAGACGACTGCTCCAGAAGATCATAGAGACCTGAAAGAGAAGGGCATGGGATTGTTTCTTCCTTCGCAGCAGTAACGTCGCCTTTGTCACTAAAGGATTACTGGATGTGATTCCCAGCTTGACTCCATTGAAAAGCTGGCAGACCGTCTCGCTTTCGCTTTAAGACTGATCAGCAGGGCTTCTCCAAATATGAAACGTGAGCCTTGGCCTATCGATGATTGGATTATGTGTCATTCAAGGAATCTGCCAATTGCTGAACCCTATTGGATATTTACATCTGCTAGGTCAAAGGAAAGTGGGAAATGCGTCCCTGCTCATCTTCCTGGTTCGATGTACAAAATTTGGGCATATTGTCGTGCATAAGGTGACAGGAGATAGCGTCCGATACCAGACTAGGACGGGAAGGCATCGCCGAGACATTCACCAGATTGCTTATCACTATCCACATTAGCGTGCAACCAATTCCGTGACAATCCGGCTTTGATCCATTGCCCCTGCAGGGCTAAATTGGTTTTAATTTCTGTCCGGGTCTGACGCAAGCCTGTCCTCCAATCGGCAGCACGAGGGCCTCGGCATGCCCTGGCTGTCATGGAGCCCACGCTGCCCTATCTCCACCGGCTATTTACCCACCATTCAATCATTGCGGAGCTCGGAAGAACGTGCAGAAAGGCGGAACCATTTTCATCCGCATCCATTTAATGTCATATGGATGATCTATACGATATGCGTTTGAACAGGTGATCAGGGGGTACTGGCAGAGGCACTACCCTCCATGGGCTATGATCGTCGGTCCTATATGGTCGAACCTATATAAGGCGCGCAACAAACCCTTGGCTTTGGGCTGTTGAACAGCAACTCCGTCTGTTGCACCAATCTTGATAATAGGCTAAATGAGAATTTCAGGCTTATTGTGTTTTGGGGCCCTTGCCGGTGTTGCTCTCGCTTCTACCGAGACTGGGATCGCCAAGAGGTCGACAGTCAGCGAGATCTTGACTGATATCGAGGATGCTGCGACCTGTGCGGCATGTGAGGTCTGTCGCTCCACTGCGCAGTTTGATAACAGCCCTTGATGCTCATTCTTTGTACATACTCGTAGGCTCTTCTTGTTGTTCTGCAGGCCCTTGCACACTTGGGCAATGATGACTTTGTGGATGTGATCACGGAAGTCTGCATCTTGGCTGGGGTAAGTCTGGGTTCACGTCTCTGTTGAGCCAGGCTAATATTTTCAGGTTGATGATGACGACGTCTGTGAGGGTGCAATTGCCCGCGAGGGCCCAATATTGGCTCATGACTTGCGGAACATGGACGTACCCTCGAAGACGGCGGTTCTCTTTTGCACCACCATTTTCGGGCTGTGCGATTATCCTGCAGTGGCCGAATATACCGTGGATTTCCCATCTGCCAAACCGGCAAATGCGTCTCGTCCAGCACCAAGTGGAGAGACTCCTCTGCAAATTGTCCACATCAGCGACATCCACGTCGATCTTTCGTACGAGACTGGCGCTAAGTATGCGACCTTCACCCACTGTGGGAAGACAACAACTGACCATTTTGCCAGCTACAACTGCACCAAGCCCATTTGCTGCCGTCCCTATACTTCCTCCGACGACCCCGGTGTGACAGACTACCCGGCAGGCGAATACGGAAACCATAACTGCGATGCCCCCCTCACACTGGAAGAGAGCATGTACTCAGCTATCAACGACCTCGTTCCCAACGCCTCGTTCGTCATGTTCACCGGCGACGTCGTCGAAGGTGCCGTCTGGCTAGTCAACGAAACCGAAGTAACCAACGACCTGAACGATGCCTACAATTCCCGAATGGCTGACTATTTCGACCTTGTCTACGGCGTCACCGGTAACCACGATTGCGCCCCAGTGAACTCCTTCCCGCCAGCTGATATCGACACCACCATCTCCAGCCAGTGGGCATACGACACCCTCTCCTCCGACTGGAGCCAATGGATCGGATCCACCGCCGCCAGCACAGCCGACGACTACGGCGCCTACTCAGTCAAATACTCCGGCGGCAACCTGCGCATCATCTCCTTCAACACCAACCTCTACTACAAAGAAAACTTCTGGCTCTACGAGAAAACCATGGAAAAGGACCCCAGTGGCCAGCTCGCCTGGCTCGTCGACGAGCTCTCCGCAGCAGAAACAGCCGGCGAACGCGTCTGGCTAATGGGCCACATGCCCATGGGATCCGGCGACACCTTCCACGACGCCTCCAACTACTTCAACCAGATCATCCAGCGCTACGATGCCACCATCGCCGCCGTCTTCTACGGCCACACCCACAAAGACGAGTTCGAACTCGCCTACTCCAACTACACAGACCAGTCCGCTGACACCGCATCCATGATGTCCTACATCATGCCCGCCATGACCCCCACCTCCGGTAACCCTGCGTTCCGCGTCTACTCCGTCGACCCCGTCACCTTCGGCGTCCTCGACTTCACCGAGTACATCACCAACATGTCCAGCTCTACCTACCAGACAAATCCCACCTGGGAGAAATACTACTCTGCTAAGGAGACCTACGGATCGCTACTTGACCCGCCCGTTACTGACAGTGCCGCGGAGCTAACCCCGGCTTTCTGGCACAATGTCACGGTTCTTTTCGAGAACGATGACTCCGTCTTCCAGGATTATTATGCCCGTAAGAGCCGTGGATGGGATGTCTCTGACTGTACGGGGGATTGTAAGACGGATGAGATCTGTCAGTTGCGTGCTGCTGAGTCGCAGTATAATTGTGTGGAGATTACTCCTGGGATTAGCTTTAAGAAGCGGGATGCTATCACTACTAGGGATACTAGTACGAATTCCCGGGAGAGTACCTGTGGTGAGTCGGTGGTGGGTCAGATGTTTTCGAGCTTTGATAATGCTGTCGAGGCGCTGATTAAGGCTACGGAGACGAAGCTGGGTTCGGGATTCCTTAATACTACGGTTAACGCGACTGTTTCTTAGAATGTGTGTGGGGGAGGGGTGGTGTTTAGTCCGGTGTTGTGATGGGGAGTGTCTGTGTGTTACTAGTTGTGATTGTGAAGTCTACATATCGTTGAAGACAGACCGGTACTCGAAATCCCACAGCTCATTTTCTATTTGATACCTTTGTCTAGTCGATTGTGTTTCTCTTCCATATGTCTTCTGAAGCCAATTTTTAGAATTGCAGAGTTATCATAAGCTACATAAGCTAAGTATTGAGGGCATCAATCGTAATCAAAACTCCAAAAGCCCCAAATGTCCGAATCTTGAAACACCCCACTATCTCTACTAATAATAGTCATCTCGTGATGAACCCTTCAGCATAGTTCCATGTCTGCCAACGTCTTGAACCAGCGTAACAGCTCGTCAAGGCGTAAATGTGATCGACGTCCCAGTTTCACCAGGCCCATCGTTCAATTGCAGGCTGTGCAGTACCACTTTGAAGAGGCCCCAGGGATGGCATGGAACGATGAGAAGATTCCTCGGGGTCGTATCAATTCTATGCCAGCCTCGACTCTGCAGAATCTGTCTGATGTCGCAAAGATCCCTGAAAATGAACTGCCACGTGTGCTGTAAGATGTAGTGCATATCGAGGAGTGGGATTCCGATGAGAGGAACGAGGATCAATCCAGGGCAAGATCCAAAGAAGGTGTACCCCATTTCATTCGTTACTTGCCATGCCATCATAACAGTACCAAGCAGTTTGGGGATATGTCCCGCTTGAAGGTCACGAAGATTGTTGTACGCTTGCAGTTCCGTCTCGTAGTAATACATCATGGCCCTTTGGAGATGCTCTTCTCTTTGATTCAAGCTGAGAGTATTTTGTGGATCTTGACTGCCTGCAGGATTACTTGATGGCTGTGCATTTGGCATGGCTGGCCATGACCCATAATACCGATATCCCGCTTCGATGGCATGGCACCAATTCGGACAGCCAAACCTCAATCGCATGCCTGGTGTAAAGCGTCTGTCGAACATTCTGACCTGTAGTGTTCCGCCTAAAGTGCCCAGAGGTCCCTCGACTTGGACGGTCACCGCGCACGCCTTCCAAAAGGGTTTATGCACGTCCACAATTCGGCATGTCAATGTTATTGGCTGGCCTTGGAAGTAGTTGACGGAATTCAATATTATAATGTTGCCACGGAAGTAGGGAGTTCTTCGATGGTTATCAAACTGTGCGTTTCATGGTGACAGTCACCTACCCTTCTCCATTGCCGGCACCATATTGCGGAAACCATGGGCGTGAAGGGTCGTAAGGTACAGGTTCTCCTGGAAGGAGCATTCTTCTCTGCTGCATTATAGGAGAGTATAAGAATGATACAATAGGAATAATTAATGCTTAGGTCCGTGTGCGGAAGAAAAAGTAGACGAGTTGGTTTGTTGAGAAAGGAATAATGAATGAAGTCTAGGCGTTCCTCCTGTTCAATAAGGAAGTCGCAACCTTGGTCTTTCCCTTGCAAGTTACACGTCTCATACATTCCATTCTTGCAGTACTAAGTTCTCATAAATACGGCAGCGACCCTTGCCAGTTCATCCAAGGACGCTCCGTCAGATAGATCGAATAAAACCGGCCTTCGTCGGGTGTGGTCACCAAAGGCTTGAGCTACTTGTGCAACTGTCTCTCCCTCAGAGGAGGGCCCGTAGACTCGCGCCGTAAATCCTTTCTCGATGTCGCCGTCTATCACAGCAGGCCATGGTCTAATGCCATGGCAAAACTTGAAGAAATCAACTGCGAACGCAGCTGCTATCTTCTGCTGCGGAGGAGTCAAAAACTCTCTAAAATTCTGGAACAGGTAAGCGACATCCAATATGTGGCCAGCCTTGCTCTTCCAAGGTCCATCCCAAGGATTTCCCTCGTTGAAGTAGTAGACATTTGAATGCCCTTTCCACCCACGCGTGTATGTCAGCGTTGGCGCCAATATGAATATATCGTTAAGGTAGTTGAGAACCGCAGGGAAAGCCTCATCGTCCGTAGTTTCGGCAGTCAACCCGTATCCTGCCAATATCTGTGTCGCCAGTTCTTGCTTGGTTGGAAAGACGGAGTGAACGGCTTTCGCAAATCGCCCTGCACATGCGTTCTTCAAATGAGGTAGTAGGATAGCGAGAATATTGATCTAGAAAAGTAAGTGTAAGTTCAAAATATCTGAATATTTGTAATATCCGACCACTCACATCATACTGGGCATCACCAATCAATAAATCGCGACACCACTGTTTTCCCTTGGGGATATCGCTTGTCTGATCAGCTACCTGCGCATATGTTACGGCAGACAGAACCATGTCTCCATCAACCGCGGGAGCAGTTAAGACAGATGGAGGAAGTTTAGCAAGCAGATCTTGGCCCGGTGTTTCCAAGAAGGCCTTGATCCTTTCGTCCGATGTAGCATTTTGCAATCCAAGTGCCGACACCGCATGTTGATAGTTGCCCTCGTGCACGTCGTATGGCAGAGCCTGGACAAAGAACCGAGAGCCACTCATCAAAATAGCGCGTTTGAATAGCGGTGTTTCGGAGTCGAGATGGAATGTGACGGAGGCTATACTGTTCAGTTCCCTTCCTTTAGAGGAGAAACGAGAGAAGGCTTACCTGCTCCAGCACTCATCCCAGCGACAGTGATGTTTTCGATATCCCCTCCAAAGTCTGCAATGTGCCTGCGTACCCATTCCAAAGCCACCCTCTGGTCTCGCAGCCCATTGTTGGCTTTATACCCAGCGTTGCGCAGTTCATCGGAAGTCAAGAATCCAAATGGTCCTAGACGATAGCTTGATGATTGTTAAGTAATTTTTGTTTTGTGTATAGCCACAATATATCTACTCACTTGATTGATACCGCAACAATTGGTAGTTCATTTTCAATGGACAACTTGACGAAACGCTCGTAGTCAAACTGAGGCCAGGAATTCGCCCCAATCATGAGACCACCGCCATGGATGAAGACAAAAACGGGAAGTTTCGAATGCGCAGAAGTGCCTGCAGGGACAGCAATATTCAGGTTCAGACAGTCCACATCCGACTGGGTGAGTTCCTTCTTGGGTAGGGTGTGTTGAATCGCGCTGAGTTCCAAGTCACAACCACCGAGAGGTGATATCGCGGTGGGCCTATAAAGACCCTCATTTAGTGTGTGACCGAACAGAGAAGCCAAGAAGTCATGCGGCTTTCAATGATCAAATGACTTACCCATCTTTAGTTGCGTCAAGAACGCCTCCAGCGCGCCTTTCGACTAGTTCTGCATCTGCAAGTCTGTTCTTCAAGGTGGCATACTTGATTCCCAAAAACTGGGAGACACCATTCGTGGTTTTCCCGCGGATTTCACCGAGATGTGTAGTGGTCTGGATTATGTTTGACATTGTGTGATTTATAAACAATGAGAGAGAGGAAAGATGTAGTCGTGGAGAGGAATGGTGTTGATTTGAGTTGATGGCAGTCCGGAGTTAAGGATATAGCAACCCGCACGGGGGGATTTCCGAGCGGATATGCGGGGATCTCCATGTCCATCTTGACTCTTTTTGGTATCACCCTGCCCCCGGCTTTGTTGACACTCGGTCCGATGCTGCAGCTGCTAAGCGTCTTCAATCAGAACATGCTGTCGCGTTGCTTTCGCTGCGCTTAACATAAGACATGGCCCAATCTCTGTCACTTGACGTCGACTTCAATAATAGTGATCAATACCCACTACTGTCCTGTCAATGACTTGTAGATATTGTCTACCAAGGAAATTCCATGTCTGGCTTGAAATTACGACTAATTTATGACGCTCAACTATCATGAATCCAAACTCCGCGATGCACCAAAACGAGCCAATCTATCAGCACATCAACCAACTGGAAGTTCATGACTGGAAGTTCATGCTATATCCACCCGTCTTCGGGTCCTGCACAAAGTTGAAGTTATCTGTCGACAGTCCGAACGGCTTAAGGAATCCATTACCCAGCTATAGTCTGTTAGCACGTCGCTAGATAATTTTGGAGCGCATCGACTTACATCCTTGAGCTTCCCCATCATCTCCCCCATCTCCTTCTCCCTCGCTTGACCGATCTTCGCAGGCAACTCCCGAAGAGCCTTCTGCACAACACGCTTATCGTCTGGTGGAAGATTATCCATCGCAGCCAGTTCCTTATAATCCTCTTCCGCCCCTTGCAGGTTCCCCCAGCCGCCGAGCTGCATTTTCGCCCGCGCCCGTCGCATAAGCGCCTTTGCGCGAATACGCAGCACATCCCGTTTCTTCTCATCCTGCTTTTGTAACCTCTTCAGCTCTTCCTCGGCTTCATCATCGTCACCCGTTATCTCGACCACTGCGTCTTCGCCACTCGACTCTTGCGGCTGCTTTCCCTTGACACCCTCCGCATCTGCTGCCCCTGTCGCAGGAGGAATCACCTTATCCAAGCGATCGATGCATGCTGTCGCTGAGTCGACAGACGCTTTCCAGTCTTCGAGTTTTAGATAACATGCGGCCATGTTGCTTCGCAGAACGGCGACTTCGTAGTCGAGGTAGTTGGGGCATGAGGCGAGGGCGCGGTCGTAGCACGAGATAGCTTGGTCATAACACGCTGCGGTAAATAATTTATTGGCTTCAGCTTTGATGGTATGGGATTCTTCTAAGAGTCGCTGGTTTCCGTATCCATATCAGTATCCTGCTGGTAGTGAGGGGCAGGAAGTAGCTAGGCTCACTCACCGTTTCTTCTTCGGCGGGGAAGCGCGCATCGTGAAACACGTCCTCTTCTTCTTCACCGTCACTGTTAGCCGCATTGTCGGCTTTTTGCTTCGCGTCGTTTGTCATGTCTGGCCTGATAGTTTGTAGGCTCACCAAGTGTCCGTAGTCCACTAGTGGTTTGCTCTGCTCTGGTGGTTCCAGAAGCTACTTGCAGCTCCGCGGAGTCGGCGAGTCGGAGTCGGAGATGCCGCTGCCCCTCTTTGCCTAAGGCACTGATTTCCCCTCCTGCCGATCTCCGATATCCATTCATCGTTAACGGTCAAGCTGCATATTTGCTGTTTACCATCAACGCTGGACGCATTATCCTCGCATTTAGATATTAGAGGCAACCATCTGCAATATGCCTAGCTCAGCCCAAGAGTATGACTTGAATACCCCCGTAAATGCCTCTCAATTAGCTGATTGTTACCCAGTCTACCCCGCGTGCGGGCATGTCTCTTCGACATGGATGGCCTGCTCATCGACTCGGAGGACAAATACACGGATATCACCAATGCCATTCTTCAGGAATATGGAAAGCCTTTGCTCCCGTGGTCTATCAAGGCTCAATTGCAGGGTCGTCCTCAACCAGATGTAAGTACACTCCCTTCCCCATCCTCCCAGTTCCCCGCTGCAGTTCACTTTATATGCCTCTACCCTCCTTCCCATCTCCTATTTTCATTCCTCTGACTGTCCATTCCAGGCCAGTCGTATCTTCCATCAATGGGCCCAGCTCCCCATCTCTCCCGAAGAATACGCCGCGAAGCAATCCGCCCTTCAGGAGAAATTCTTCCCTCAATCCCAGCCCCTCCCCGGAGTCAGGGAGCTCCTCGCCAAGCTTGTTTCCACCCAAACCACCGACCAGCCCGTGCATCTTGCCCTGGCCACCTCTTCCCACAGCCGCAACTTCAAACTGAAGGCCAGCCATCTGGGCGAGTTGTTTTCCGCATTCCCGAAATCCCAACAAGTCCTGGGCGACGATCCCCGCATCGGCAAGGGACGGGGTAAGCCGCTTCCCGATATCTACCTGCTCGCGCTGGAGACCATCAACTCTAGTCTGCGCGAGAAGGGAGAGACTGAGATCAAGCCTGAGGAGTGTCTGGTCTTTGAGGACGCGGTGCCTGGCGTTGAGGCCGGTCGGAGGGCCGGTATGCGGGTTGTTTGGGTCCCGCATCCCGGATTGTTGGAGTCGTATAAGGGGCGGGAGGAGGAGGTGCTGGCTGGGCTTACTGGGGAACATAAGGAAGAGGAGAAGACCGAGCCAGAGCGTGAGGCCGATGAAATGGTCGCCGGTCGGTTGAAGAGTGCCGGTAAGCCCGGTGAGATCGGTGATGGGTGGGGAGAGTTGTTGCCTTCTTTGGAGAATTTCCCATATGAACGTTACGGAATAAAACATGCGTGATTTCATTTCTTGTCTACCGGGCTATATAGACATGAAGTTTCTGGCAATCTAGAAATGTACAGCCACGTCAGGCAAAGATTTGATACCCGTGAGAAAATAGGAAAGACTATGTACCCCGAAGGATAACGCAGAAGCAAAAGAAAAACAGATCTCAGAAGCAGAAAACTCAAATTAAATCAAATACGTAACTGAAAACAACAAAAGCAGAAAGTCAAATCGCAGAAGCAGCAAATAAATCAAATCCCCACGAAATCCAGCATATTAGAAAAATGAAAGGAAACAAAAAAGGAAATATTAAGCACCAGAACTCATACAAAAACGGGAGAAAGGCATGTACCTGAAGGAAAGCGAAAAAGAAACAAATGTTGAAGCAAATTGAAGCAAAACAGTGCATGAGACCAGCTCAGCACCGATTTAATCAAAAGTGTCGACCAAATTGTCGTACACATTAGCCTCAATTTCCCAAAGGGCGCACCTTTTGAACGCGATCTTTCGAAAAAATGTATTAGAGGATCCTGAGTGTAGAGCCAATGCGAAAGTATTCCAGTCACGAGAGAAGAGAAGAAAGAAGATGGGGGGTAATCCAATGGCAACGCCAGAAAGCGAGTCGGAGTTGGGTATCATCGACTGGGGTATCACAAAACAACTACAACTGCCAAAAACCTCCATAGATTTCGTGGCTCGTAAATTCGTAGACCAAACTAGATGTAGTAGATGGTGTGTCGGTCTTGACTGTATCATGAGGAGATGTATGTTCTTGTAAATCGAGATGAGAGATGTATTCGTAAGACGTAAGTCCTGTTGTCCTTTTCCTGTCTGTCGTGAAAGCCTGTTATCGTCGTAAACATTCGTAAAGTAGATTATTGACAAGCAACTTGTGCTGTCGCGCGCTTTCTGCGTGTAAATATTATGTGTTGTGTTCAGAGTGGTTTGAGACTTGTATCATAACGAGCACCAAGTTCTTTTCGCGTTGCTGTCTGATGTAGGGTCTGTTATCATGTTCAATAGTTCGTTAAGTAGTGTAATTGACAAGCAACTGGTGTCGTCGGGTCCCTTTTCTATCGTATGAGCCTGTTCGATGATCTTTTCGACGAGTGGTTGTTATGTTTGAGGTGCAATTAATGCTGCCGCTTGGCCGAAGGAGAATCGTCCTCGACGTCCGTTTCTTCCCTTCTGCGCTTACGTGTACCTGAAACAGGACCTGGCATCTGTGCTTGATGTCCCATGTGAGGCTGGTGGCCCATCTGGGATTGGTGGCCCATCCGAGGTTGGTGTCCCATTTGGACCGGATTTCCCATCTGTTGTGGATATCCCATCTGTGAGTATGGATGAGATTGCGAAGCGAGCTGGTTATAATTGACCATCAAGTTTCGTCCCAACAGGGTGTTGATTGTTTGCTCCGGGTTGTACGGATGAGGAGACGCCTGAGCGGTTGGAGGCATTGTGACGGACCCGGCATTCTGTCTTGGATGTGAGGTTGCGCCCATCATTCGGTTGTTGTAAGCTTGAGCAGCGGCAACTCTGTTCAGAGGTACCGACTGGTATCCCTGTGGGCCTGGTCTGACTTGTGGAACAGGTGTAGGGGTTCCTGCGCTCATCGCCGTTTGGTATCTAACTTTGTTGGCGGAGGCCATGATATTCATCTGCTGGGACGTGTTGGATGGAGTGGCAGGGAGAGGGTTTCTTCCGGTCGCTGCAATATTGCCAGGGGTGTTGTTTGGGGTCATTGCAGCACCGGCGTTGTTTACTGGAGGCACGGTAGTCATGGTAGGCATAGCAGGCGCTGTGGACATTGTAGCCGCTGCAACCCTAACCGCCTGGTTGATGGTGGTGGACTCAGCTGCCTTTCTGGCTCCGAGAACTTGCTTGCCCGCGTTCATCACTTCACCTTTGCGCTTGTTCAAAGTCTTATTGGCAATGACACGCTTTTGAGCAGCCTGTGGATCATCAACAAATTGATGCATGTAAGGGGCATCTAGTAGATGCTTGCAAATTGTTTTTTGGGTTTCGAGACAATCTAGAATTTTAGTCATGCGTTCAGCGAACGTCAGCAAATCGCTCGTAATCTTTCTTTTCAGTCCATGAGCTGCCAACAACGAGCCCGAGATTTGTCTGGTAATAACGCAGTCCTAATAGCAACGTTAAATCCGCTGCACAACAGTATCGCCTGGCTCCACGACTTACCAATATCTCCCAGCACACGCATTCGACTCTCTCGGCGCTATACTTGCCCTCTTTGAATGGCTTGATCATTCCAGGGTTATCCTCGGCGTTCTTGAAACTGAGCATCGCCTTGGTTAGGGCCCTAACAATTGCCTGTTTTTGCAGATCGTTGGTGGGCAGGGTTGAGTCCTCTCGAACGCCATCCTGCACCGGGCGTGCTGCCCTGGCTTCCTCGACTGAAGAGTACAGCGTACCGCAGTCTACATTATAAGCTTCCGGGTTCATCAGCTGGTCCATCAGTGATACGGGGCTTGGCTGTGGGTTATGAACAGGGGCCTGGGCGGTCATGACCGGCTGGCCAGAAATATCAATCGGGAAGGTGGCTTCGCCTTGACCGGGGGGCGCATAATGACCATCAGAGGGGCTGTTCTGCTGCACAGAGTTTCTGCTGCTTCCAGATGATATGCCTTGGTTGAATTCCTCGACTGCCCCAAGTTGGCCAGGGAGGTATTCGGCTGGACTGGAGTGCATTGGTTCAGATCCAGTCTCCGGCGAAGATTGGATCATAGTGCCGTTCTGGCAGGCAACCTGCTGAGAAGGGAAGATACCCTGATACACTTGAGTCCCTTGCTGGTGTGTGAATCCAGTGATCTGATTTCCGATGCTAGCCATCTGACTTCCGACGAACTGATGCTCATTCATCTGGCTTCCGGCGAACTGATTTACAGCCATCTGGTTTCCAGTGAACTGATTTCCAGCCATCTGATGTCCGATGAGCTGGCTTTCGGTGTTCTGATGTCCAGTGAACTGGCTTTCAGGGTTGCCGGTAATCTGATCGCCAGGCGAAGATGCTTTGCACTTCTGGGACGTACCAGAATTGCCGGAAGAACCAGAACTAGAACGGTTTCTATCCACTTGGTTTGCCGGCATAGTAGTTCCCTGAAGCCCACCAGCAGTATAGACTGGCTGCGAAGGTGGAGTACTCTTTTGAGAACTATTTGAAGAGACGTCCTGTACTCCGGTTACATTGCCGAGCATGCTTGCGGCCTGGTCAGTGGGGGTGGCGTTATGTGAGCTCCTCGAGACGTTATCCACATGGTTGCCAGGGGCATTTCCCACGAGGTTGCTGGGAGCGTTGTTCACGTAATTGTTTCCACGATTAAAGAAGTCCTCATTGTCAGCCTCAGTAAATGAGACACCCGAATTATTGACAGCAACACCAGCCCCAAGAGCATAACAAGGGAGGGTAGAGTAACCGCTTGGTAATGATTCGCGCGTTTGCTTCAAGGTGGTTTGCTGAACACCGTTTATAGGACCCATGATAGGGCCAATCACACCAGTGAAGTAAGTAGAAGCAAATAGACGGGCATCTGGAGGCGCCAGATTTCCCATATGTTGGTTTACAGGCACAGATCCAGGATGCATCAAAGCCGTAGCGGCGGATTGCTCAGTAGTGCTAGGGTTCAGGTCTCCAGACATGGTTCCGGGCTGAGGTGTAGCCGTAGCAGTGGACTGCCCAGTAGTACTGGGATTCATGTTCTGGACAGCCGCAGTCTGATCAGAACTCCCAATATCCTCATTAGGGTTGGCTTGGTTATCCCCAATTTCAGGCGATACTGCGTTGTCGAGGATTGCAGAATGACTGTGCTCTGAATCCCATGGAGGCAATGCCGACAGGTCTATATCCTCTCCCGTAGTGAAAGGATCAGAAAGATCCCCAAAAACACCAGCGTCCTGCGCCATGGCGGTGCTTGGGAGGTCTTGAACTGAAAAGTTTTGAGCATTGTTAGTATGCCCTTCTGGTGCTGTAACGTAATTATAACTAGTATATAAAGTTAGGTGCGGTTGAAACTAAAGTACAGAAACAAGCGAATGGATACTTACCCGTTGGCCCCAATGCAACCTTGAAAGAGTTCCTCAAACTCTCCGGTTTCAGTGAAGGACACATCGTTCACCAGTGCTCCTGTAGGAGATAAGGTAGCCATTTCGGAAAATGACCAACACTGGTCCTCTGCTGGACGAGATATCCCAAGACTCGTTTCTGAACGCGTTTTTGAAAGTTCCAGAAGCAGGAATAAACAAGGACAACTTGACCAAAGTGTTGATGTAGATGAAATAAGCAAATGCAACGTCCTTAGGGCTACAATATGCCTGTGAAGCAAGATGCTTGATTGATCACAAGAAGCTCTGTACTCTAAGGAATGAGGATTTGTAGACACGAGGAATATGGAAAGAAGAGAGGAGGGAAGGGGAGAGAAGTTAAGTACTGTGTGAAAACTCAGGCATTTTGTGAATTTTGCATGTTATTCACTACCTGTGAATGGAATCACAAACACATTAACACACTTGCCTTTGAGTAGGGAATCAAGATCCACTGGGCTGTAGAAAAATCCATAGTAAAGGCCGAAAAGTGGGATCCAGGCCAAGCCACCCCATCTCCAGGCAACAAGAACACTGAATTTGGAAAAATAATCTTGTTGAAGGCTCAAATTGATTCTATCTGTGTTTGGTAGACATATTGGTAGGTGTGGCTGGATTCACAGGATTCACGTTCACAGATCCCGGTTGACAGATTCACGTTCACGTTGGTGGAGGGGTTGCCTGAATTCACGCATTTACAAAGTGGAGATGAAACAGCGTGAATCTGTGAATTTCTGACATCCTGTGGGAAAATCCAATTTTCAAAAAAGATCTCTGGGTTGTCTTAGTCTCTGGCACCAGTAACCCAAAGTCCCTTGGTCACCTATTCTTCTCCAGAGTGATATTTCAAGTATGTCCTCGGCCGGCAGAGATGCAAGCACTTTATAGCGGCATGGCCTATTATTCGCTGCTGCTGCTGCTGCTGCTGCAGGAACCCGGCCTAAAGACACTAGCCCCCGGTCGCTTCATGCACCCATATATCGGGCCTTTGTGTTTAAGATCCCCAGCACAGGGCTTTGCAGGTTGACGGATAAGGAATGCGGAGAAATTCAAACCTTCGGGGTGCGCAGAGACAACATGAACCACTGCATGACCTCCGACAAGCCCTTTTTCAGTCGTCATTGCTGTCCGCGTTTAGGAATGGCATATACCACACCTTCAAGCTGTTGTCAATATTAGGTACAGGTGGTGGGCTGGTATTGTCGATGTCTTTCTCGAAGTGCCGTTGACCTGAGGTTGTAGCTACTATATTCCCCATTGGATGCAGTACAGTACTACTAACAGTATCTATGATTCTATATTAGCCTGGGTGTCCTTGTCTTTATCTGGAAGCATACTTACCGTTATGAACCTTCCATTCCCACTTTGGATCCTGAGCACCACTAACATGTGTAGGGTTCTGCCACATCCTCATGCATCCATCGGTTCCACCAGCCCAGATCTCATGGGAGCCGTTTTCTCCACTGGGAACTATATCGATTTTCAGCCGTTGATTTGTGAAAGCCTTGCGACCTTGCAGCCATCCAAGCAATTGTCCTGTGACTCGGATATCATATACCAAGACACCATCACTTTTCCGTTCAGCAACGTAGAGGTACCTTCCGCAGGGGCTCCACAGCAGTTGAGTGATTCCACGACCGCCAATATGACGGTGCGCTTCTGTTTTCGATATGCTGAATGTCCCTAAGGACTCCCCTGTTCCATGTGCACCATAAAGCCCAACATGTCTGGTGAAGGTTCCAGCCGCTAAAATACCAGCCCCGGTGGGATCCAAGGCCATGGCAGAGATGATTCCTTTCATTCCCACGCCCCCACCCACCAGTTGCTTTCGTTTGCTTGGTATTGTGGGCATGGAAGTAACAGGGCCTTCGTTGCCGGGTCGAGATACATCGAAGAGGCAAATCAGGCTGTCAGAGCCAGTGAGAAATTGGCTCCCTCCCAACGCAGATGGATAAATAATTGAATGGGGCGTTATGAAGGCTTCTGTCATTGGGTTTACCAGAGAATAGGTCGCCACTGAGGTTGGAGCAAGAGCAGACGTCAACCTGATTGGATGGTCTCGAACAGATGAGAGAAATAATGTAGTCGACGGGTCTTGAAGGGAGAAAAAAGGGTACATGGCAGTCGCATAGGTCGGTTCTGCCGACGGCAAGACTGAGTATGGCGATATACTGCTGGGGTAGGTCGTTTTTTCTAGCATATCGGGTGGTCTGTAGAATGTTGGTCAGGCTATGTTAACAATAGCTGAATGGGATTTACTGACAAGATCCAAGTTCTGATATGATGGTCGGAGGAATCCGTCAATAAAGTGGTTCCATCCGCCGACCTGGATTCCAAGATCAGCCAAGCGCTGATAGTGATATTGAGAGACTTACCATTCTGCACCCTTGAAATATTGTGTATTAGGGTTTTGGCTGAGACTGCGGTCCTCCTTTGGCTGTAAGGAGGTGGAGCCTTGAGATTCTAGAGAAGGGCTGCCAAACCCTGAACTATGCTCGCCGCCACTAGAAAGGGTAGAAGCGACACATATGGGCTCTTGTTCTTCGGTCATTCTGGGGGCTGAGGCTTCTTATATAGTAGCAGGTTGCAACAATAAACGAAAACTGGAATGGCTGGAGGCGTTGTGAAGCAGCGGGTGGAGCAAAGGATTGACATTCGCTACCCTTTGTTCTCAATGCCAAATGCCTTGGACTCAAGTATATTGTAGCATGAGGCACAGTCAATTTGGTATTGTGGAATAGAGCCAATGAGGCGACAATTGAAGAAAGCCAAGTGACGAGGTTATCACGTCTACATATGTGAATTAGCTTCTACAGTGCCTGCAAATGGGAATCAAGAGAAATAGCAACCTGCAATGAAGTGTAGAATGCTGTGACTGTGGCGCTGATAGATATTCTCTTAGCTTCTTCATCAATGAGCTAAATCTGAAAAGCCGTAACTGATAATCGATCTGAAGTGCTTTCTTCAAATGATTGGTGGTGGTTATACTGCGTTTAGTTAGTTGGTCCTTATCGATAACGCTGAATAATCTCGGACCGGCAAATCTTTCCCCATCCAACACTAGCCGGGGAGGATCGTCTCGATTGTTGTTTTCCGACGTCGCAACTCGATCCAGCTCCTGTGGACATTGTGCTGGCACAAGACCCTCTTGACGGGCGCAACAAAGGTTCTTGTCGCGTTAACGCTATTGAAACTCACTCGATACCTGAGCCCTCGTTTTTTATCTCCCGTCTAAATCGTCCATCATGTTCGGTACAAAGCCTGCCGGCACATCAACCGGCCTGTCCATCAACACTGGTTCTGCCAATTCTCTATTGTAAGGCTTTTCCTGTTGCATCTGTAGTGGCCTCATGGTGTCACCTTGGTCCACGCCTGTATGAGGTGCTCAAACCGCAATTGCTTCGTCGCATCCCTTTAAATTTCTGGCCTTCATTGAAGCCTCAAAAAGCTAACAATATTGCCTTATCAGTGGCGCTGGAACCAATACGCAGACTAGCACTACAACAACACCGGCGACTACTACTACCTCCGGCGGGTTATTCGGTAATCTTGGGAATACTGCCACACAGTCAAAGCCAGCCGGTGGCCTATTCGGAAACGCAGGAGGCGCTACACAGCAATCTCAGCCTGCCGGTTCGAGTCTGTTTCCGGGGTTAGGCGGCCAGCAGTCGAATACTACTTCAACTGGCGGGGGTCTGTTTGGAAACTCTACTGCCACAACTTCGCAACCACAGACAGGTGGTCTTTTCTCAGGAGCCACCACCACGACCAACAACACACAGAGCGGGAACACTGGTGGGGGCCTATTCGGCAATCTGGGCGGTAACACCGCAAACCAGACGCAATCAAAGCCACTTTTTGGTGGCCTTGGGGGCTCTACGACTACCGGAGGGGGCCTATTGTAAGTGAATTTCTGCCCACAACATCAATCGTGGCTCATGCCAACTATCACAGTGGCGGCGCCAACCAAACCAGCGCGCAGCAGCAGCAGCAGCAGCAACCACAGAAGCCTACTCTGTCTTTGTTCGGAAATCAGAATACCACAACACAACCAACCACGCAACCCACGGCCGCGGCCGGGACAACGGTCATCCCTGGGGTCAAGGTCGATATCAGCAACATTCTTCCTACAACGAAATACGAGAGCTGCGCAGATGAGATCAAATCGGAGTTGGAAAAGTTTGATAACTTCGTCCTCAACCAGATCAAGATATGCAACGAGGTTGCGAACATGATACCCACTATCGCCGGCCAGGGAGAGACGATTCCACATGATGTTGAATTTGTCCAAGGAAAACTAGAGACAATGCAGCACGCACTTGAGAATGACGCAGGTGACATTGATCAGCTTCGTAATCTTGTGTCTCGCGACGCAGCTGAGGCTCAAGTTGCATTCCGAGCGATTGATACCTTGAAGTTGCCACTGCAGTATCAATCTACCGGTGGGGCTGGATGGTGGTCTCAGGATCAGAAGATGTCAGATGGACAAGCCTTGCGATCTACGCGCAAGAACACTCTAGCTCTCCCGGACGATGTTGAAAGCGACCCGTCCACTGCCACATCGGTGAACGGAGTACCCGTCAACTTGGTTGACTACTTCTCTCAGCGCTCGGACGAGATGGGAGAGGTCTTGGAACGCTACACACGGAACTTGAAAGAGATTGAAGACCACCTTCACGGAGTTGAGGCGACTTTGGAACGACAGATCCATGACTTTGTGACATCTCGTAGTCGAGATGGAGCAGCCGCTGGAGCCCCGAAGTCCATAGTCAGCGAGCTTGCCACCGTTCTAGGCGATGTTGAGGCTGGCATATTAGGCGTGGCCAGCCGTCTCGGTGGAGTTACCGAGCAAGTGCAAGAGGTGGTTCTGGGCCCGCCCTCTGTTTCATGAATGTCTGGAAGTCTGTGCATTGATATCACATAGTCTTCATGTAGATTACGGATGGATTTAGATTTGATGAAGCATACCTAATCTCGCTACAAGATGCGAAACTATACAATCTCGGCTCCTTGCCAGGTTATCTGATCCGGCTATCCGCTAGTTACAATGACCCGCCGACTACCC